CTACTCCTTAAAACAAAAAAGCAAGCTGAGAGCTTTGTTTTATGTTCTCATACTATATATAATGTCGTGGCCTTGGCCTTTCTTTATGAAAACATAAACATGCCATTCAGTTGAAACTGTTGCCAATTAAAGTATCATAAGAGAAGTTGAAAATAGCCATCATTCGGTATGTGTGCGAATGTTTTTTAAAATGCCTACAGCTTTGTCAATACAGACACAGTATTATGTTCTTTTTTGTAGCACAAATGAAATGATGTACTACAATTAACAGTAACTAAACTTCTGATAGTATGTTTCTGGATATGTTGAACTACCCTAGCTAGATAGATAAATAAGGTTACCTCCAAAAATCACTAACTCAACACCAGTTTTCTTACCTGAATCTTACAATCTATACGGTATGATGTTGGAAATCGAGTTTCCTTATCTTCCTTTAACTTTTAATATAAATTCAAACCAAAACATTAGAAAACTACAAAGAGGAAGAACTGAACTGAGGCACAGTCTATCTTGACTAAAGTAAATGGACGCTTTATACTCTACAAAATCAGTATTTATCATTCCAAGGTATTCTACTTATCAGCCACATTAGCATTCAAACGGTTTTATCTGTAAAATAAAATGCACAAACATTTTCATAAGATGATGTTTAAATTATAGTCTAAGGAAATGTTTCTTGTATTATTCACTTACGTTTCTAATATAAGTTTAGCTTTACTAATATTTCAGGATCGCATATTTCTATAAAGCATGCTAATCATCACAACATTATTGTTGTATGATTCCGAGGTATAACAAACCTTTCATACTGTTAACCTGTAGGTTCAACTTGTTAACCATGGTATTATCACTGCATAATTTTAAGGTACAATAAGCCTTCCACATTTAAAAACATATATTTAAAACATATTAATGTTTACAAGCCTCTCATAATAACCTTCACCTGTAGTTTAAAACACGTTAATGGTTACAGGCATTCCATAATGCTTTACCTGTAGTTTAAAACACCTTAATATTTACATGTCTTCTATAATGTTTAACTTGTAGTTTCAAACACATTAATGTTTAATAGCTCTTATCAAGTAATAAAATGTTAGAATAATTTTTTATTTGTACTCTGTAGTATAGTTACAGTCATGTTTCTATTATACTTAACGGTTTCTATCATCCTTAAACATGGCATAACGAAAGATACACTAAGGTTTTTTATCATTTTTAACCATGGCGTAACGAAAGGTTACAGTAATATTTCTATCATCATTAGTGGTGCAACGAAAAATTTCAGTAATGTTTCTATCATCTTTAACCATGACATAACCAAAGGTTACAGTAATAATATTCCTATCATCTTTAACCATGACATAACAAAAGGTTACAGTAATAATGTTTCTATTACCCTTAACCATGATATAGGGAAATGTTACAGTAATGTTTCTAACATATTTAACCATAAGGGTAACGAAAGGTCACGGTAATGTTTCTATCATCCTTAACCATGACATATCGAAAAGTTACAGTAATAATGTTTCTATTACCCGTAACCATGACATAACAAAGGGTTACAGTAAGGTTTCGAACATATTTAGCTATGGCGTAGTGAAAGTTTACAATAATGTTTCTATTATCCTTAACCACGACATGACGAAAGGTTACATGATGTTTCTATCATTTTAAACCATAACAAAAGGATACATTCAAGTATCTATTATCCTTAGCCATGATATAACGAAAGTTGCAGTATTGTTTCTATCATCTTTAACCACGGCGTAATGAAATGTTGCACTAATGTTTCTTTCATCATTAACCAAGGCGTAACGGAAGGTTACAATAATGTTTCCATAATTCTTATCATGTAGGATAATATTACAGTATTATTTACGTAATCATTAATCTGTTGAATCAAGTTACAAAATTATTTCTATAAAAGCAAAAAAAAAAAAACAGACCCAAACATAAGGGTAATTTCATCTTCATCTGTAGCAAAAAAAGATGAAAGCGAAGTACGTGAAAGAATTCATTCATAGTATTTTAATAACACTTAAAGTATAACGCTCCAGTACTTCTTCTATACTGCTTAACTTGTAGTACAAAGTTTCAGTAATATTGCTGTAAACATTAGCCTGTTATAAAATTTAGAAAAACTTTTTATAACTCTTTTTTATGTTAAGTAAAGTTATAGCAAAAATTCTATAATCCATAACCTGAAGTATAAAATTATAACAATCTCTCCATATTAAAAACTCACACTTATTTATACAATTACCAGATCACCAATTTACATATGTTTGAAAAAACATTATGCTCCTGAAGATGACGCAGTGATATACGTCGAAATTCTATAATCCATAACCTGAAATATAAAATTATAACAATATTTCCATATTAAAAGCTCACACTTATTTATACAATTACAAGATCACCAGTTTACATATGTTTTGAAAAACATTATGCTCCTGAAGATGACGCAGTGATATACGTCGAAACATGTAGAGTGTATGAGATTGTTTTCCAGTCTCATCGGGTTTTTACTACTTTTTATCCTGTACAGTAAGTTATTTGTATTCTATTTTAATTTTGAGACTGGAAACAATATCATTTTTGGAATTGTGTGTACAAAATAATTGCTGTTTTTAAAAAATTGTGAGTTTTTTTAACATTGAACATTACACAAGTGCCAAGGAATTAAAAAAAAATCCGTAATCAATATCCTGAGGAATAAAGTTACCACAATTTTCCATAAATTCTTAGCCTTCTTTATGAAGTTACAGTAGCATTTCTGTAATCCTCAGCCTGTTGTATAAAGTTACAACACATTTCTGTAATCCTTAGCCTGTTGTATAAAGATACAACACCATTTCTGTAATCATTAGTCTGTTGTATAAAGTTACAACACCATTTCTGTAACCCTTAGCCTGTTGTATAAAGTTACAACACCATTTCTGTAACCCTTAGCCTGTTGTATAAAGTTACAACACCATTTCTGTAACCCTTAGCCTGTTGTAGAAAGTTACAACACCATTTCTGTAATCCTTAGCCTGTTGTATAAAGTTACAGCAGCACTTCTGCAATTCTTAGCTTGTTGTATAAAGTTACCACACCATTTCTGTAATCCTTAGCTTGTTGTATAAAGTTACAACACCATTTCTGTAATCCTTAGCTTGTTGTAGAAAGTTACGGTAATATTACTGTGATCTTTAGCATGTTATGAAACCTTATAGTAACTTTCATGTAGTCTGAAATTTACAAAGAGAGAAAGAATAATCTTAAAGTAAAAATTCGTCGGGACATTAGAAACAGTATTATTATAATAATACGTCTGGAGAGATATGATGCATTTTGTTAAACTCGCAGTACGGTGGATACTGCGAGCTTATCAATACTAAACCTACAGTTAAAACGAGATTATTTTCTCTTGCATCAAGACGATGAAATCAAATACAATTACATTTTGCAGTTGTATGATAAGAAAAGAAAACCTAAACATGAACATTCTGTAGTCAGACTTAGGCCTACGAAAGCCTAACTATAGCAAATATTACTTATATGCTTTTATATACTTAATGGGGCATGAATAATATTTTCCTCATATTGTTTGTTAATATTACTAGAATAGTAGACTAAAGCACAAATATGGGTAACTGGTTTCATTATATTTGTTCAAGATGGTCGTAAACCGACTTTTTTTCCTATTTTTTCTTTATTTTCAGACAACATTTAATTACTGTAACAACAATTAAATCCCTCTCTGATGATCTTGCTATTTTTGTTCTCAAAAGTATATTTTTCGCCCACAAAGAATATTCTAGCTAAAACAAAATACCTGTGATTATACACCACACTATCTATACCATCAGGCTAAACTATTTCATTATTTAGTTTTTCACAGGTTAAGTATGCTACACAATGTTACAAGATCTTTTTAAGATAAAACTGTAAATTAAACTTGTGGTTATAATAAAATAAATATATATTCGGTTTAATTTAATTTTATTATACTATCAGTTTATCTTTTATAACATATTATTTACATTTATAAACAAATTCAGAATTTTTGAAGAATCATCATTTCAATTTCTTCAATTTATTTAACATCCTACACAACTTATGATACGCTGTATGTTCTAATCACTTATGCGATTTTAACTAAAATATGGTTAAAAAATCTGATTTGCTCAATAACATATCATTATTGTTCGTCTGTAATAAAGAGCTTTATAGGCTATCAAAATGATGACTTTACTTGAATTACAGGCAATGAAAATATTAATCTGTGGCTAACAATAAATTATTGTCAAGGCGTTAAATATATAAACCCAAAAAGCCGTATCAGTTGCCTCAGGATGTTTTAGAATGGCTCGGTGGTAAGTCTGAGGGCTTATACCTATAAAAATCAGGTTTCGATACCCACGGTGAGCAGAGCACAGATGGCCTATTGTATAGCTTTGTGCTCAACAAAAACATGGCAAACAAATATCCCTTCCCCTGTTAGAATATACTTTACAGAAAGAAACGGATCGGTAATGATAACTACACGCAGGATTCACTTCGAAAATTTAGATTTTAGTGATGACTTATTTCTAATAACTGAGATCTCTTTTGTAAAGTTTTGTTTCTCAGTAGCTTGACTGTAGCTTGTTTATTTTTTATTTTTTGTAATGAAGCACAAAGCTACACAATGGGCTATCTGTGCTCTGCCCACCACAGGTATCGAAACCCGGATTCTAGCGTTGTAAGCTAGCAGACATACCGCTGTGCTACTGGGGGGCTGGCTATAGCTGAATTCGATTGCATATATTTAGGGTATACACTAAATGTCGAGCTCCTTAGTGATATGTATGGATCTGTAAGACATTATGAGTTTATGAATTAATCATTGTAAATTTTTTAGGTTAATGCGTCACAGTTTGTTTCATTTTTTATAGATTTTAATGGTATTTCAACAGTTTTATTCATGTATGAAATATATTATGTGTTACACTAATACGTATTTCTTTCTTCAGGATGCTTCTGGTAATGTCCTGGAAAAGTGGACACTTTCCACTCGAGAGGAGGAGCCTCTAATTCTACAGCAATTCCTTCGGTTTGGAGAAACTAAGGCCATTGCCCACCGCCTTCTTCTGCAAGTGGATAATGATAAGCCTGACCAAGTAGTAAATCTTCCTAAAACGGATTCAGACATTCGTAAATTCATTGAGCGGACCAATATGGTGGCTGGAGCAGCTGTCTTGAAACAAGAGAGCTCGTTCACGAGCTCTTCTGCTGTGTCCACCTCGTTTCCCGTCGTTCGAACATCTCGTGGTCGGCAGCTATCGAGCGTGAGTTCCACTCATTCTCTGTCTCCATCTACAGGGTCTCCTATCAACTGCACAAGTCCTTTATCAATCTCCCCTTTGAACAAACTCCAAAGTATGCAGCCTTATGATTATCGGAGAGAAAAAATTAGTCCAGAACTTCGTGGTGGTAATGAGATTCCAGGTTTATCCCGTACAACTCCTCTATCTTCTCCAACTACTTCTGTTCCTTCTGCCAGTACGGCTCTTACTAATCACACTACCACTGCTACCATTAACTCTGATCTCAGTGCGACTGACGGTGGCTCTGAGGATGACAGCAAAACTGCAATCAACCTTAGTCAGAAAGGAACTTATCATTTTGATTCAATTTATATGGCTAAGAAATACAAACACTTACGAAAGTCTGCAAATCCTATGAAGAGGCGATGGAACCCATTAGTTTTAAGTAACCTGAACACTAATCCAGCCACGGGCAAGAAACGTGTCCAGTGTCATGTATGCTTGAAAACTTTCTGTGACAAAGGTGCTCTTAAAATACATTTTAGTGCTGTTCATCTGAGAGAAATGCATAAATGCACTGTAGAAGGGTGTAGTATGATGTTTAGTTCGAGGCGGAGCCGTAACCGACATAGTGCAAACCCTAACCCTAAGCTTCACACTCCGACTTTTAGAAGAAAGTTTAATCCCCATGATGGGCGATCGGCCAATCCTTACCCTAACTATTCTTCAAGTGCCTTCATTAGTTTGAATAACAGTGTGTTGTCTACCTCCAATACACAAGACACGGACGGTGATGCTACGAGATTACAGGATTCTTCACAAATACCGTCTTGTGCTACCATTTCAAACGAAATCTTGGTGTCATCACAGTCTCAGATCTCACTCTCTAAACCAGGCGAAGAGACAGGAGTTCTACCTCTTAATAAAAAACACCGCCCAGAAGAGAATGAAAAAAATTCAGGACACAACAACGAAGGTATAAATCTGTCCATGAAAGAAAATTCCCCATTTGTGAATACAGGTGTTCATAAAAGAAAAAGTCTCAAACCTACCAGGTGTGCTGTTACAAGTGATGACGAGATGCAGTACGTATCAACAGAAGAGACTTCTAGCGAAACTTTTATGGACCAAGGTGATGAGAACGAGGATAATGACCTTCTTGAGTCTAAATCAGAAGATGGTTATTCAGATACACATGATGACTTTAAAGATGAAGAGTTTTACAAAGATAAAATAATGAAAAAAGACACAACACAAGACAACTTTATGCAAGAATTAGCACCCTCCTTACCAATAAAAACTACACCAAAAGATAATATACAAGATATAGCTGTTACTACTGTGGAAGAACCAAAGCATTCTGAGTTAAACAGAATGTACAGTGAAATAAGTGAAAATCCCCTTCGCCACCTAGAAAGCTTGTCTATGAGTCCTTTTACCAATATAGTAACAACTTCAACACGTAGTCTGGCTAGCAAATCTTTATCAACGTCTGGAGGAATATCATTTCATGCACCTGGTTTGGGTCTAGCAGCACCTATGGTGCCAGAGAAAATTTTTAATCAAAACAACACAACCCTTCAGATTCCTTCAGCTTCCTCTATAAACACTACTCTAGGCTCTCAAGGACAAACTTTTATTGATCAAGATTCAAACCCTGACAGTGAACAACACTTTCCGCTTTTAACAGGATACCGAGATTCAGGGAGTTTGGACATCCCTGTTGATAAAGAAAACCCAAGGCGGTGCATTGCTTGTGGCAAGATATTCCAGAATCATTTTGGTGTGAAGACACATTATCAAAATGTCCATCTTAAACTTATGCATAAATGTACAGTGGAAGGCTGCAACGCTGCCTTCCCATCCAAACGAAGTCGAGATAGACATAGTGCTAACTTAAACCTTCATAGAAAGCTTCTCTCAACTAGCTCAGATAAAGTCTCTCCATTCTTGGAAAAAAATAGCATCTATCCTTACCATGCAAGTGTGCTGAGAGATGACTTCTTCTCTCGAATGTACGATCCCCAGGCTCTGCCTTTGAATTTTGCAGATCTCTATCCTGGTAGGATTCCAACATGTGGGCCAGAAAGTTTAATAACTAATCCGGCATTTGCGGTAGGTTCTCTGAGTCACGTATTACCTTTTCATCCAGCATTCATGCCTCCTACTAACTCCACTGCCCTCTCTGAAGGGATCACTGGGATATTAGGCATCAACGGTCGAAATACATCACCTAGTCCTCTAGTGACATCACCAGATCGTCAAACAAAACCTAAATCACCAAAATCAAACCATCAACGTAACTCTTCGTCTGTTACTCTAGATGAGGAACTTCTTCCTGATGCAGAAGGGCAATACATTTGTGAATTTTGTCAGAGAAAATTCCAAGACAGTATTTCAATAAAAGAACATTATGAGAATAATCATGTGGAGAAACTTCTTTTGTGTACAGTAGACAACTGTGGCAAAGCGTTCCTCACAAAGAAAGCACGAAATTGTCACACTCACGAAGACAGTGTTCTTAATGTAGTTCGGACGATCTCCACGATACCAGTTTCTTAATGTCGATGATATATTATACCTTGTGCCAATTTGATGTCAAAGTAAGTGAAGAAAAGGTTTAAAGTAAATGTGAAGAAAAAACAACGGCGTGATCTTTGTTTATAAAAAGCAATTGTGTATTTAAACGTAATTGATAAAAATTACCTGTATAGAAACTGCTGAAATATGAAATCTGTTCTTGTCAGGATTTTCTTGCTCATATATGCTGCCTGAAACGAATTTTTTCTCAATACCATTAGCCATGCAAGCAATTATACCATCGAAGATTTGAAATGTACTATTGATCATGTTTTGTATGTTAAGTCTTTTTAGCGCTTTAAGTGGTACTGTAAATAACAAAAACAAAGCTTATAGTCGTTCTGTAAATTGTATAGCTCACTTCTTTCATCGGAAACCATGGCTAAAAAATATTAAAATCTCAGCAAAAATTTAATATATCAACTTCATTGTGATCACGTTTTTCTTTTTGCTACTTTATATTGTGTATGTGATCAACACAATTTCAAGGTAATAAAGCAAAAGCAACACTGATAGTTAAATTCAAAAAGATCATTCTTCATTTTCTTTGTGCTATAGTTTTTCTTTATAAGTAAGCGAGGCTTATGTTAAAAAACAGAAGTTTTTATTTGTTCTCAAGTTTATTCATTGGCATCGAAGATTGCTCGCAATTTTCAGCTAATATTATTGAACACACTCTGTAGCTGTCACTATACGGGTATACTGAACATGTAATAATACTAGCCAGCTGATATGAGTTTACTAAACCTATATCTATATTTGATTCAGATAAAACCATGTGGCAATGCTTCTACAGAAAAGGTTGGTGCAAACTTTGTGTAATGTACGTGAAGTCAAATATGTAAATGTTTTCTTTTAAATAAAAAGTTCTAAGAAAATTAAAATCCCATTATAACCTGACTAGTTTGATGCTAAAACTTGGTATTTGCTTTCCTTAATACATTTAAAACGAATCGTAGAGTAATTCAGAATTTATTAAGTCTAATGCAAATCTTTTTTAATATATTTATATTTCAAATACTCTTCAGCAGTGAGTGCTAATTTTACATATTCCATATCTCCTCTTTACACATTTGACCAAACACACTTTCTCATTTAATGTTTGTCACAGGGTTTAAGAAGGCAGACTTATCTGCTACAGTAAACTGGATGTATTTACATACTTTTTTTTTCATTCATCGATTCTTTAATAAAACTAAGAAACTATCCTTTGCTCCAGTGGCTTTTCTTTCTAGGTTTCGGTTTAAATAAAGAAACACAAATAGCTATAAACAGCTACGAATGATCTGTGTTTGTATGCTTGTTTGTTTTGTGGGAATTCATTTCTAGTTATACACTGCAATTTATTCTACAAAAAGTTGTTATTTGGCAGTGATTTAATGTTTCTCAAACTGAAAACTTCCCAAATTATAGAATTATTTCCATGTGTTTGTTCTAGGTTCTAAAACACGATGAAACCACTTTCTTGATAAAGCAAAAGTAATAAAGGTAAATGAGTATATGTAATGTTTCTACAACTGCAAATTCTACTAAGAAGTTCAATTGGACACACACTGTACCATTCTATTTATGAGCTAATAGTGTTGTTTTAAAAATGTAACTAGTTACGTTAGCACAGGTTATAACTGAAATACCACAAGAGGCAGTGATCACTCATCTCAGTCATGTAGCTTATTAAAATCTCAGGTTTCAAAGATGTATGTTTTGTTTTTTGTATCCATCTTTAGCGGTACATCTCAATGTTAATACACATCACGTGGTTACCAGTTTTGTCCAAAAACTCGTTTATTACTGAATCAGATATTTTTTAACATTTAAAATATGTATACAGTATATTTATGCAAAAGCGCTTTATTGTAGTGAATACACTCAGTATGATGCAAGTTGAGATACATGGTATCAAAAACAATCAAAGATAATTTGTTGAATAATCAGCGATTTAGCGGTAAATCACGGATAACAGAATTTCACGTCCAATGAATGTAATATATACGGTATATTGAAAGAAATGGAAATTTTATATAAAGTTCAATTTCAACATGTCTAATTCAACAAACAATTAACGTAGGGAGTTTATGTAAAATTCGAATACATGAAAGACTGACAAACCTGTCTATTTCAGACTGCAAATATAGTTTTGAAGCTGCTCGAATACATGACACAAAAGCTCGGGCTAAAAAAAACTGTAATTGTATGTGATTATGTTTGTAGCTTCAAACTTAATAATAACATGAACAACAGTTGCTTATAAAGTATTTTGTTTTCAGCCTATAAATTATTAGCTTCCAAAAAATTACTTATAGAACTCAATATAAAAAAGTTTACGTACTTACAACGCTAAAATCGTGGGTTCGAATCCCAACAGTTAACGCAGCAGATAGCTCAATGTGGCTTTGCTCCAAAACTAACAAACAAAACAATTATAAAGTTATTTTATTAACAAAAGATACAAGTGATGTGATGTTAGCATGTAATCTTTTTATACTTTTTCGTTTTTTCGCGGAAACAACATTATTCAAAGAAGGTTTAGAAAAATTGTTCATGCAGCAAGAAGAGTAGTTACGGTAAGTTTAAAATTAGTATTTATTATAAAAAGTAATTAATAATTAGTTTTAGGTGACTGTATGTGCAAATTAACCATGATAAAAATATTTGTAGTTGTTGCGACATCTAGTGAGAAATAGTTAAAAATTGGAATCACAAGATTCACAGATACTTTAAAATAATGGAGATCATCTGTCTTTCAACCATTTTTCAAAGGCGTTTATATGCTAATTAAAAATATAATATTAAATATAGACTGTAAAATAAAATCAACTACTAATAATAATACTTCGTTATTGCCAGCGATGGCATTAGAATAGTATCAAACTGATGTTTTTATTTCAAAACATTTGTAAGTGTTTTTTAAACATGTACTAAATTCTATTTAAATATATTCGAAATTACTGCGGTATGTCTGCGGTGTAAAAACGTTAGAAACCGAGTTTCGATACCCGTGGTGAGCAGAGCACAGATAGCCCAATGTGTAGCTTTGTGCTTAACTCCAAACAAAACAGCTGTAATGAAATATGTAAAAAAAAACTTCTAGCGTACACAAATATATCAAAATTATGATCCATTTAACTAATGAGTCAAAAACTATAAAAAATCTATATTTGTATTCATTTAATAACAAGTTTTAATCTAACAGAAACAAAACTTCTACGTACACAAATATATCAAAATTATGATCCATTTAACTAATGAGTCAAAAACTATAAAAAAATCTATATTTGTATTCATTTAATAATAAGTTTTAATCTAACAGAAACAAAACTTCTACGTACACAAATATATCAAAATTATGATCCATTTAACTAATGAGTCAAAAACTATAAAAAAGCTATATTTGTATTCATTTAACAATAAGTTTTAATCTAACAGAAACAAAACTTCTGACGTACACAAATATATCAAATTTATGATCCATTTAACTAATGAGTCAAAAAATTAAAAAAAATCTATATTTGTATTCATTTAACAACAAGTTTTAATCTAACAGAAACAAAACTTCTGACGTACACAAATATATTAAATTTATGATCCATTTAACTAATGAGTCAAAAAATAAAAAAAAATACTATATTTGTATTCATTTAACAACAAGTTTTAATCTAACAGAAACAAAACTTCTGACGTACACAAATATATCAAATTTATGATCCATTTAACTAATGAGTCAAAAAATAAAAAAAAAATCTATATTTGTATTCATTTAACAACAAGTTTTAATCTAACAGACTGTGAATTCTACCAAAAGTTCAATTGAAAACATACCTAGCGATTCCCAACGGTTGACACAGCAGATAGCTCAATATGGCTTTGCTCTAAAACAAACAAACAAAAACAATAACAAAGTCATTATGCAAAAGCAGTGATCAGTCATGTAGCTTCAGTTGCTTATTAAAATATCAGGTTTGGTTTTGTTTTTGTACCCTTCTCTAGCAGTACGTCTTAGTATTAATACACATCATGAGATTATCAACTTGTCTAACCAAATTGTGGGACTTGACCATTACTATTCCAGCCTACCACCGGCCTCAAACTGCGAAACTTGTTTTTGCAACAACGAAGCGAAACCACGCGTTTACGGATTCACCACCCAGAAACGCTAAAAGTTGGATCAGGCCCAAATTTATATGTAAAAACATCCTAATTTGAGAACAACTATTGAAATGTGGTCAAGCTTCCTTACACGGAACTTGATACAGCATTTACCAATACTTATAAAGGTTACATATGACTGATATATTTGTATTTATTTGAAATTAATCTCACGATAATTCAAAATATATATATTTATCCTTTTGTAAATATTTTAACTTATTTATTTTCCAATTAATATGTAATGTATCTAGAATTATTTTCTGACATTTTAAAAATACAGAGCTTTAGCTTGATTTTATTATATAACAATTACTTTTCTTGAAATATTGTGTCAATATTACAATTGGCGCGTATAAAACTTTCAAACTTTAGATAATTTTATAACCCTCTCTTTGGCTCGTCATCACGTCAATTGAACACATTTATAGAAGGGGTTTTCAGATTGATAATAAGAGCTTAAATACCGCAAAATATTCATTTTACATCAATTTTGTTCGTAATGTTTAAATGGTAATATAAAAATGCAAAACATATGGATCAATCATAAGTTTTGTCATAATAGGCGAGTACTAAACTAATTAATTAATGCTACGTATTTACTTATGAAATGGCCCGGCATGACGAGGTGGCTAGGGCGCTCGACTCGCAATCTGAGAGTCGCGGGATCGAATCCCCGTCACACCAACTGTGGGGGCGTTATACTATTCGTTGGTAAAAAGAGTAGCCCAAGAGTTGGCGGTGAGTGGTGATGACTAGTTGCCTTCCCTCTAGTCTTTCACTGTTAAATTAATAATAATTACAGCAATGAGCTGATTTCAGTATTA